ACCCGGGTGGAAGATTTACCTGCTTTAATGGTTGTTTACCTGAATTTACGATCAGAAAATTGCGTAGCTTTGTGAGGAAAATTCTGAACTCTTTCACAACAAAATCTTCTCTTAAACAACACTTTTGGGACACATCAAAACTTCAAAATAATATTTACCGTTCTAATGCAGAGTCCCTAACGTCGCAAAGGTTCAGTTTAAGTCACAAAACCCAGTTTTATTTTCGGTCATAATTCTCATCGCGTTTAAGAATTAAGTTTCGTCAACTCAGAAACTAATTTCGTCGCTTGAAACAGCGACATGTTAATCTTTTTTCGAAACGAGTACTATTTAGCATATTTTCTTTCCATTTTGAGCTTCCTAAGGTTTATCTCAATCGGGATAGAACCTGAAAAAAAGTCTTGAAAATTTGGAACTTCGCTGCTAAACTGAACGGGTAGTTTCAGCCGAAGTAAAACCGAACATGTCATCTTATGGATGCATGGCCATTGCGAAATTAAGAATTTTTACCAAGGTGGCTTTTTAGCAATTTGATAGGACTTGCACGCACGCTGCTATAATTTTGATTATTTCAGGGAATTTCACAATATGTTCTCGTGATATTTGGGCGAATGATTATGTACAAAACAAACTCACACGTCACTCCGTGTCGTATATGCACCACTTCCAAATAGAGCCTCGGGAGCCGTCCATTTAATTGGAAGACGGCCCTAAAACCAAAGATCACAATAATATAATCATGAGTGAGTTTAAACACTTTCTCTCCATATTGTATTTCGAAACTGAAAGTTATCGTTATTATAAATTGCCCTATCGCAAACGTGCACACTTTGCAGTTGCGTGGTTTTCGAAAAAATGATGAGCAGGTTAATTTCACGTAGGCTGAAAGTACACTCTTTTAAATCAATCGGCTCAGATACAAGTTATTTCCAAATATGTTGTGAAGAATTACCTCGTGGGTTCGAACATATATATCCTCTGCCCAAACATCTCTGGCCATTCCAAAATCTGTGATTTTGCAAACGTCTTCGTCACCAACCAAAACATTTCTCGCGGCTAAGTCGCGATGAATGATCTAGTGACGAAATATAGCAATAAATTGACTTTCGAACTACTTGGGTTAACATAGATATTCATATTTATACTTCTGTCCTGATACTTAAGAAAATCAACATTAGAATAGTAATAATTATAACGTATTTATCAGAAGGGCCTTAATGTCCCAGAGTTAGCAAGATTGGTGAGGGTAATGAAATCTTGGAACACACAGACTTCTCCAACACATCCTGTGAGCAAAGTAGCAGCGAGTTAGTCGCAGATTAAATTTTTGAATTGTTGTAACAATGCTCTCCAGCTTTCGTATAGACACACAACAGGTGACTTTGTAACCTTTTTCTTCGACAAGTAGTCCATTCCGTCACTGATCTGCCAAGCAAACCGAAGCAGTTGCTTGGAAGTGAGGCTGGTGCGGGGCTCTACCGAGGGATCACTGTAGTAGTTATCTCGAACTCCTCGGCTCTTCCTCAGGTACCCAAGCAAGTCACCATACTGTGCATACTCGACAACTACGAGTGGCCGGGCTGAAATACGAGAAATTTCATCTTTAACTATAAGTGGCCTTCAATTAACAATATATTCTGGTTATCAGCTATTTCTCGATTTATTCACTAGACACTTGAGTTAGCTGATCATGTTCATGACTGACTGGATTTCCTTTAGAAGTCTTTAACAAGTGTCGCAAAGTAAACTAATTATGAAGATGATGTTGATTATATAGTCCATTTGTCCAAATAAATTTTCTCCTATGCGTTTACAACACTCTTCAGAGGACTTTGGTTAGACTCAGGAGCTTCTTTATCAGCTGTGCGAGCTGTAAGCAACTTTGCAGACCCCCTTATCTAAGAATATTTGGAAACAAGGCCTTTCCACTATGTAATTTACACACAGTAGTTCAAGGCGTGCTGAGATCATTGCATAATCTCAGCACACCTAGTTACAAACTGTAACTGACGCATATACATGCAAGGACGACGTAACGATGAAGCAAGACTCGTGCACCCCGGCAACACTTCCACAGATGACATTGACAGCAAAGATGCCACTACCTCAAGCTCACCTTCAGTAGTAACACAACCGTAAAGGCGGATGACGTGAGGATGAGGATCTAGGTGTTTAAGGAGTGACATCTCTGACAACAGGTCTGCCTTCTCTTTTTCTGAAGCATCATCTTTGTAAATACCAACAAACCAAAATTCCATTTAAATCAGAATTTAATCAACATTAAAATGACCAATTCTATAAAATCTAACTTCTCTCCAGCGCCACACTGATCATTTCATCAAATGTTTACGACATTGCTCGGATCAAAGCTTGATGGTTTTAAGTGTACATGTATTTCTTGTATTAGGGTCTTTTATTAGTTCCCAAGTGTACAAAAGGTCTTTTTTAGTGGAAAATAAGGTGAAATGTAACCTTGAACGCTCTTCACTGCTACCACAGTCCATCCTGGTTTTCCCGGCAAATCAAACGCTAAGCCTCGTGACACCACGCCGAATGCGCCACGCCCAATAACCTTCTCCACATTCAGCCTTGCTCGCGGTATTTCCCATTCAGGGTCACCCGATGAGGATACGTTGCAAGCTCCATTTGGAAAAAACTCGTTGCATGTGGCTTGCGATCTCAAGGACACCCTGGTAATAGATAACGTCAGAGCTTAGGCTATACTCAGCCATATTGGTGGGGGAAGGGGGAGAGTGAGGAGTGGCAGAGATGACGGGAAAAATAACTGGAGTTAGACACAAACGGCACCAGAAAAACATTCGACTAAAGAGAATTAGGTCGGTTTGCTTTTTAGTCTATGTTGTTAGTCATTATTTTTAAAAGTATTCATTCTGCGAAAACCTCTTGCCTCCTGTTTGATAGGGAGTGATAATTCATTCAGGAATTTATAAATACATACATTTGGAGCTCATCGGCTTCTTCACCTGAAATGGCAAAATTAATTCACGTTACTCACAGCATCATTAATTAACAGCGTATAAAACTATAAGACAATGTATGTCAAAATCATTTATAAGGTTAGTTTTTAACCAGATATTTACTCACGTGTTCGCTGATTTGTCTGTCCTCTGGATCTCTTAGCCATATATCGTTTGATGAAGAGAGCAAAGATCGCGATCACCGCTAAGCCCGCTGTTATAGACAGGTACTTGGTGAGTGACTCTCTGCCATCTGTTTTCGAGAGAATAGTTCTTCTAAATCACTCATAATCTAATTTAATCGGCAATTAAGGACATTGAAAATACAGGTTCTAACAAAACCCAAGGAAACTTAGAAAACTGAAATATTTCTTTACTCCCTAAAATTTGGAATTTTCTCTCAGTTAGCACAGTCTGCCCTATGAAATGGCCCCAAAGTTGATCCAATGCGTCTTCCCGCCAGAAAAAAACTGGAATTTTTCATCACAAGGCATATCTCCTTGATGTAAAACGATGTTATGTATTGCTATGTCGTGCATAATATAACGACGGAAAATTCCAAATTATAATTTCTGAAGGGCTCAACGATATAATCTAAATAACGTTCAAGCTCGTGCGAAAATGTTCACATATAGGCGGTCAAATTGAGCGCGCAGTATGCAGAATTTAAGCTAAGTAACTGTTTTCAAAAGAATTCCGAATGCTAGAGAGTAATATTCATGAACTTTTCTCCTGAGGAACTAACCTGCATTGACATTTTTGGAGGCACTTGTTTCAGGTTCTTCGTGTAACTCTGGGTGTTTTCTGATACCTGTGGGATATTTCACGATTTATCATAGTTTTGACCAGAAAAAGGCACGATTATCAACTAGGCTCAGTCATAATAATTACAGTCCACTTTCTAAGCGTTAATTCCGTGCGCATGCATACTATGTTTCTCGTTATTTGTGGATTCGTGTAACTAACCGAGTTACTATCTGCATAATGGATCTTTGAGGTCTCCTGGGTTGTAAGGCTTTGGTAACTACTCTAACTCAAAATAGATATCGTGACCAGGCTGTTATTACACTTACCCTTTTCGTGCAACGTGAACGTCACCGAGTCAATCGCTATCTTATTGGTTGCTAAACATATGTAACTTGTAAAGTCCCTATCATTTATGGGAGTGACTATCAAGGAACTTGAGTTTGAGGTATGTGAAAAGCCTTGCGTAATCTCTCCATCGT